GATTGGCCAACTGACCGGCTGTGATTGGGTCGCGACGGATCGCCCACGATTGGCCAAATTGATCGCGGGGAATTCAAATCCCCGTCATTGGCCGGCGAGCCGCATGCAGCCCTATATGAAGGGCTGCCATGGCTCCAAGGCTTTTGTACTGATCTAAACCTAATAAAGAGCTGAATGTTCACTGTTGGTCTCGCGTCTTCCTGAGAACCGATCTACCCGATCTAACACTGGCGACGAAGGTGGGATCGTGAGACAAGAGACCAACCGAGCACGTGGCGAGCGGCTCAGCATAACCCGCAGAATGGCCAGCAGTACCTTGCCACCCGCAGCCTTCAACCCAGCTGCTGAGGATTGGGAGTCCTACACCGACCGGTTCCAGATGTTTCTGGAATGCAGCAACCTCAAGGATGCCAATGGGCAGAGAAAAAGGGCCATGCTCCTAACACACTGCGGGCCCGCGGTCTTCAAGATGGCAAAAGCCCTAGCCAAGCCCACCGACGTAAAAGAGATGGACTGGGCCGACCTCGAACCCATCCTACAAAACCACTACGCCCCTGCCGTGCCCACCCTCATCCGAAGGCACAATTTCTACCGACGGGACCAGCATGAGAACGAGAGCATCAGCGACTTCGTGGTGGCTCTGAGGGACCTCGGGGGTCTGTGCAGGTTCACCGACATGGACGAAGCCCTGCGAGACCGAGTCGTCCTCGGACTCAGGGACCCTGTTCTACAGAGCCGGCTGATGGCCAAGGGCGACATCTCCCTCCCCAAGGCAACGGCAGCCAAGGCAACCCGGAAGTCGGCAGCGCGGATGAGACAGACAAATGTGGCAGACTGGCCAGCGGCCATCGAGACAACCCCGCTTCAGAGAAGCACGCGGAAACCACCCACCGGATGACCACCACCACCCACCATGGCAGCATCGACTCCCCCTCCGACACCGAGGACGAGGAAGAAGAAATCCACCAACTCCAGGCAGCACGCGAGCGGCGGGAACTAAGCGGACGTAAGTCGAGGTTCCAGTGCGCCGGCTGTGGAGGCGATCACCCCCGCACGGAATGCCATTTCCTGGATGCCATCTGCCGGCATTGCGACAAGCGGGGGCACATTGCCAAGGTATGCCGGAACAAGCGGAACTACAGCCCCCGGCGTCGAGGCGGCAGCCCCCAGTGACGAGACAGCACCCCCCCCACCAGGACCAAGGACCGCCATACCGAGAGTCGCTGGAGCCGAGACAGCCAGAGCAGGCAGCTCAGCAAGGCACGGCCAAGAGAGGAGACACATCAGATGGTCGTCATTGGTCACTCCTCGACCATCGACGCCTGGAAGGTGTATGTGGAGGTAGGCATTGACGATCAACCATGTGAGATGGAGGTGGATTCCGGGTCCTATCTCTCCATGGTCTCCTGGCGCACAATCAAGCACCTGGTGCCTACCCTCCACTGACGCGAGCTGCAGACCCAAAAACTAATCCTGAAGGACTATCAGGGAAACCGCATCCCTGTAGTCGGAATTGGCCATTTCAAGATCACCTTCAAGGGACGGACTGAGGTGCTTCCACTCACCATCATGGACAGAGACTGCCCGAGCTTGCTGGGACTACAATGGTTCGCGCCACTAGGCATCGAGGTGACGGGCATCAACCACGTTACTGAGGCCGACTGGGAAGCAGCGCTCGCAAGGGACTTCCGAGAAGTTTTCGACGGCAACCTAGGCAAGTACCGGGGGTCCCCAATCTCCTTCAATCTAGACCCTAGCATTGCCCCAATCCGCCTCAAACTGCGGCGAGTGCCATTCGCACTCAAACCCAAGATCGATGAGCAATTAGACAAGCTCATCGTGCAAGGGGTTCTAGAGCTAATTGACCATGCCCGGTGGGAGACGCCCATAGTCACCCCGATCAAACCAGACGGGTCCATAAGAATCTGTGGTGACTACAAGGCCACCCTTAACCACGCGCTACAGCAGAGCACCTACCCCGTCCCAGTAGTACAGCACCTTCTGCACTCACTGGGGGGAGGCCGGGTCTTCGCAAAGCTCGACCTGGCTCAAGCGTACCAGCAACTGCCGGTCGATGCTGAAACGGCAGAAGCACAAACTATTGTAACCCACCGGGGGGCCTTCAAATGTAACAGACTCCAATTCGGAGTCAGCATGGCACCGGGGGTTTTCCAGAGCTTAATGGAAAGGCTGCTTCAGGGAATCAAGGGGGTGGTGCCCTACTTTGATGACGTGCTAGTGGCAGCTACCGATAAAACCCAACTGGAAAGCCGCCTGAGGGAGGTGCTACAAAAATTCAAAGACTCTGGACTAAAAGTCAAAAAAGAAAAATGCCAACTGTGCACTGAAAGGGTTGAGCTCCTGGGCTACCTCCTTGACAAGCACGGAATCCACCCCACCGACAAAAAACTCAGAGTCATTAAGGAAGCCCCTAGACCAAGAAACAAAACCGAACTGCAAGCCTTTCTAGGACTGATTAACTTTTACAATGTTTTCCTCCCACATAAGGCGACCATGGCGGAACCCTTGCATAGGCTGTTGGATAAAACAGCCATTTGGACCTGGGGGAAGGAGGAGGAAAACGCTTTCAAACGCACAAAGGAACTACTAACCTTGGACGTAGTTCTCATTCAGTATAGCGAGACTCTACCGCTAGCCGTGACATGCGACATGTCGCCTTTTGGCATCGGGGCCATCCTCAGCCACATGCTACCGGACGGAAAGGAGGCACCCATCGCCTTCTTCTCGAGAACACTATCCAAGCCGGAGAGAAACTACAGCCAGCTAGACAAGGAGGCCCTAGCAGTCATCTCCAGCGTCAAAAAATTCCATGAGTACCTCTACGGTAGGATCTTTTCTATCGTCACCAATCACAAGCCGCTGCTAGGGATCCTGGCAGGGGACAGGGCCACCCCGAACATCCTGTCGCCTAGGATGACAAGGTGGTCCGAGTTCCTTGCCGCCTACAGCTACCGGCTAACGCACCGACCCGGCAAGAACATTTCACATGCAGACGCGTTAAGCCGCTCCCCCCTACCAGACCAAGAGGATGACCCAGCACCCACAACAACAACCCTGCAGATAGAGACATTGCCCAACCCACCTCTGACCGTGCCAGACATTGCCAGAGAAACAAATAAAGACAAGCGGCTGGCGCGAGTCTTGAGCTGGGTTGAAAAAGGGTGGCCGGAAAATAGCAGCGACGAACACTTCAAACCCTTCCAGAACCGGCAAACGGAACTCTTTACCCAGAAAGGCTGGGGGGACAGGATTGTAATTCCCGAAACTTTGCAAAAAACAGTACTATCAATATTGCATGAGGGGCACCCGGGCATCGTTAAAATGAAAGCCCTGGCCAGGAGCTACGCCTGGTGACCGGGGATGGATAAACAAATCGAGACCTGGGTAGCCACATGTAAAAGGTGCCAAGAAACCAGGTCAAGCCCCCCCACCATGCCAATCCTGGAATGGGAAACCCCCAGGGGCCCCTGGTCTAGGATTCACATAGACTTCGCCGTGCCGACCAGAGGACACACGTTCTTGATCACCGTTGATGCTTACTCCAATTGGCTGGAGGTAAGCAACATGAAAACAACAACCACAGAAGCTGTCATCAAAAAGCTAAGTAAACTCTTTGCCACACACGGACTGCCAGACGTATTAGTGTTGGATAACGGCCCGCAGTTTACCGCACTAGCCTTTGAAAAATTCCTGGCAGAAAAAGGGATACGGCATGCGTTGACAGCGCCCGCTCATCCGGCGGCGAATGGGCGGGCGGAACGCATGGTTCAATACACAAAAAAAGCCATTCAAAAAATCGAAACCGGGGATATACAGGAAAAAATAAATAAATTACTACTCATACAACATATAACACCCAACATGACAACCAACAAAAGCCCAGCAGAACTACTTATGGGCAGAAAACTACAGTCCAAATTAGATAGGCTGCACCCCACATATAATCCCGAGAAACCCCCAGACTCGTCAAGCAGGTACCGAGCATTTAAAACAGGGGACACCATTTACGCAAAAAACTTCACGGGGGTACCCGCAAAAATAACCCAGGTAACAGGCCCCCGATCATACCGGCTGCAAACAGACAATGGCAAAATTGGAAAAGGCATATCGACCAACTAAGGTAAAGATTAGCCACCAACACAGACAGCCTGCAAACGCCGCCAGAAAACACCACTAAAGAAACTGGAGGAGGGGGGAAACCACAACAGAAAAACCAGGAACACCCACCAGAAACCCACAAATTAACCAGCAATACTCACCAGGAGACCACGCAGAGGACAGGATGGGGGCTTCACCCGGAAGGAGCAGCCAAGCCAGTTCCACCAGCCCGGAAACACCAGGCGGGAACGACGGAGCCAGCAACTCGACCGAACCGGGTAGACTGGGCGGGAGTTGCAGCCATAGGCCCAGGTCACCCTTCCAGGCGGTTCCAACAAGGGAGTTGAGAGCGATGCGGAACCCGTCCGAACCGGTCGAAGACTCAACAACTGAGCCGCGCAGGTCAACTAGGCAGGTACGACACCCCGCCTACTTGCGCGACTACGTGACCACCCTATGTAAGGACTGAACCAAGAGGGGAGGGGTGTTCTATATTAACATTCTTGAAACCCTGCAAACCGATTGGTCCACACGGACCCTAACCCGATTGGCCGACTGACCGGCTGTGATTGGGTCGCGATGGATCGCCCGCGATTGGCCAAACCGATCGTGGGGAATTCGAATGCCCGTCATTGGCCGGCGAGCTGCATGCAGCCCTATATGAATGGCTGCCGCGGCTCCAAGGCTTTTGTACTGATCTAAACCTAATAAAGAGCTGAATGTTCACTGTTGGTCTCGCGTCTTCCTGAGAAACGATCTACCCGATCTAACAAAATGTTTTGTTCTTTCAAAGTATTTTTATGAGGCGCTTTTATCTTTCTTGGTGACTTCAATCTACCTCATATTAACTGGACCCTAAATGAATGTACAACTGAACCCATACCTGCAACCTTCTACAATGCTGTAACAAATCTGGGACTGGAACAACTAGTAACCAACAAAACTAGGCTTAACAACTGCCTCAATCTCATCTTCTGCAATAGTTTGAATTCAATTTATGGAATACAAATGAAAGAACCCTTTTCCAACAGTGACCACAACATGATTGACTTTTGTCTCAACATACGTCCACACAAAAACCATCACAACGACAAAATCCCTAATTATAACTTCAAAAAAGGCAACTATGCTCTTATAATCAACGATCTCTCTTCCCTTGATTGGCAATTTCTATTCACTGGATGCAATATTGTTGAAGACCATTACAACATATTCTTACTAAAATCCAAAAGAGCCATCAAATTATATGTACCAATAACAACTCCCAAAACCAGGAGAAACAGATTAACCATAACAATAAGGAAGCTTCAATCCAAATAGAGATCACTTTGGCAAAAAAACAAATCTGGTCACATTGCCAACTTCAAAAGCCAATACAAAAATCTATGCAACCAGATAAAAACTGAATGCACTAATTATCACATTAAACAAGAGGAAAACCTTCTATGCACAAATTCCACCCGTGTTTTCTACAATTTTGTAAACAACAAACTAAAAGATTCACCCCTGAAAGGACCTAATGGCAAAGACTGCAACAATGACACCATCAAAGCCAACCTCTTTAACACATCCATTGGCTCAGTATTTCTAAACAGCAATGGACCAAGCCCAGTACTTCCTAGTCTAACCACGGAGAAGTACAATGATCTAATACATATCGATTTTACAGAAGACATTGTTGAAAAAGCACTATGCAATCTAAAATGATCCCTATCTATTGGACCGGACGGAATATGTGCCTACTTCTTAAAAAAGCTATCCACTGCCATAGCAGAACCTCTAAGCATAATCTTTGGAAAATCTTTCAGGACCTGCTCCTTGCCAAACCTATGGTCACAAGCCACGGTCATCCCCATCTTCAAAAAGGGAGACCCCAGTCTAGTTGAAAATTACAGACCAATCTTTTTATGCTGCATCACCTGTAAAGTCATGGAATCAATTATTAATCAATTCATTATACTCCACTTAGAGACAAACAACCTACTCTCTAATAAAAAATTTGATTTCAGAAAAAAACTATTCTGTAATCTGCAACTCTTACATTGCAAAGACATATGGACTACACAACTCGATCAGGGCAAAGCAATAGACGCAATCTACATAGACTTCTGTAAAGCCTTTGATTCAGTGGTACACGACAAACTACTACTAAAACTAAAATCTTATGGTATCTCTGGACACCTACATAACTGGATAGAAGCATTCCTGTCAAACAGACAACAAATGGTCAAAATTGGGAGTGTCCTATCAAATTCTGTACCTGTCAACAGTGGTGTCCCCCAAGGCAGTGTTTTAGGACCAATTCTCTTCATACTCTACATAAATGACCTCTGTGATCATATTAAGAGCAACTCTTTGCTGATGATGTAAAGCTATTCAACACCACAGACAATACTACTACCCTCCAAAAAGACCTTGACTATGTATCAGAATGGTCAACCAAATGGCAACTTCAAATCTCAACAAATAAATGTTCTGTCTAACATATTGGCAAAAAAGATCAGAAAATAAAATACAAGCTAAATAATCAAGACCTTGTTGATGATCCAAACTTTGTCAAGGACCTTGGAGTACTCATCTCTAATAATCTAAGTGCTAGAGCCCACTGTAACTACATAGCCAAAAAAGCATTAAGAGTTGTTAATCTAATCCTACGTAGCTTCTTCTCTGATAATATCACACTACTAACTAGAGCATACAAAACTTTTGCTAGACCTATACTTGAATACAGCTCATCAGTCTGGAACCCATATCATGTATCTGATATTAACACAATTGAAAAAGTCCAGAAATATTTCACAAGAAGAGTTCTCCACTCCTCTACTCATTGCAGAATACCTTATTTTATTTATTTATTTATTTTTATTTATTTGATTTGCCAATTGTTTACAAGATAATAAGTATAAGTGTATACATAGTTGTGAATACATGAAATGGGTACATATAAGAAAAATAAAAGAGGAATAAGAGAAACAATAGGACAGGGACAGTAGGCACGTTGGTGCGCTTATGCACGCCCCCTACAGACCTCTTAGGAAAGGGGTGAGGTCAATAGTAGACAGTCTAAGGTTAAAGTTTTTGGGGTTTGGGGAAGAAACTACAGAGTCGGGTAGAGTATTCCAGACATTGACCACTCTATTGCTGAAGTCGTATTTCCTGCAATCAAGTTTGGTGCGGTTAACTTTGAGTTTGTATCTATTGTGTGCTCTTGTGTTGTTATGGTTGAAGCTGAAGTATTCATTGACAGGTAGGACATTGCAATGTATGATTTTATATACCATGCTTAAATCAGACCGAAGACGGCGTAATTCAAGGTTTTCTAGTTCTAGAATTTCAAGTCTGGTGGCTAGTTCTAGAATTTCAAGTCTTATGCCACCAGACTTGAAACTCTAGACCTAGAAAACCTAGAACTATGCCGCCTCCGGTCTGATCTAAATATAATGTATACACAATGTATAGTGTATACATTGCAATGTCCTACCTGTAAATGAATACTTCAGCTTCAATCATAACATTACAAGAGCACACAATAGAGACAAACTCAAGGTTAACCGAACCAAACTTGACTGCAGAAAATACGATTTCAGCAACAGAGTGGTCAATGTTTGGAATACTCTACCTGACTCTGTGGTTTCTTCCCCAAACCCCCAAAACTTTAACCTTAGACTGTCTACTGTCATCCCCTTCCTAAGAGAACTGTAGGGGGCATGCATAAGCGCACCAATCATGCCTACTGTCCCTGTCCTATTGTTTCTTTTTATTTTTCTTATAAGTATCTATCTCATGTATTCAAAACTATGTTTATTCTTATACCTGTATCTTGTAAACGATTGACAAATCAAATAAATACTAAAATTTTTACAAAAATCTGAAGATGAAAAATATGAGAATATATGTAGTCCTTTCTTCACAATGATAATTGGGACCAGAATTTCCATTGCTAAGCATGTAATCACAAATTCTGATATCATATAATCAAGCTGCTTAGCGATGGCAGTTCTAGGCAATTCTCAATTATTGTCATTAAATGAGGACCTTACATGACTGTGATTCTAATTTTCTGCTAGCTTCCCCATTGACTTTGTGAGAAGCTGGCAATGGTCAAAATTATAAGGCAGTTACTGAGTGTCAAGATTCAAAAGGTTGCTGATGATTAAACAAGGAGCATTTATACAGTTTTATAAGTGTGTGTGTGTGTGTGTGTGTGTGTGTGTGTGTGTGTGTGTTTCAGGTTGTTGTTTTTTCAAACTGAAAATAAGACAAAAAGCAGTCTCTGTGACAATGACTCTGAGAACAATGAAGGACAATTTTTAGTGACTCTTTACTCCCTCCAAGCCACTGTGCAAATGCCTGCATTATTATACAGGTCCTCCCTCCCTCTCCCCTGTAGATTAGATCAACAGAGTTGGAAGAGACCTTGTAGGTCATCTAGTCCATCCTCCCACCCGAGTAGGAGACCTTAAGACATATAGCAATAAACATAGACCAGCAAAAGACAAGAATCATCACTGTCTACAATAATGTTAAAAGATAGTACTAATAATAGTAGATAGTAACATCCATGGTAATAAATTACATGGTTTCAAACAGTTTGGATCATGAACTTGTTTACATGATTGGAGAGCAGATAAGAATGTGTAAATATAGTTTCTCTAAAAATTGTAAGAGATTTATGAAAAATTGGTGCAAGTAGATATCTTTAATTCTGTAACCAATTTTTTTCTTGTGGTCATTGCTGCAGCACAGAATTATGCCACTGCATGTGTGGTAGAAAGTTTGAGTCCCAGAGGAGATAACTTACATAAAAATTGTCTACCTTCCCTGGTAATCTCTCTAATAAGGAGAGAATATACACTGACCTATAAACTTTATATAATTCACAGTACAATAAAACATGTATGATATCTTCAACTTCTGCATTACCAGAAGTTCTGCATTACCATACATACTTGTTCCACTGTTGGGGTTTTCTTATACCTGCCCTGGAGTAGTGCTGAGGGGAAGAAGTTAAATCTGGCTCTAAAGAATGCTATTCTATGTTTGGGAAGATCAGATCCTTTAAATATCTTGCTGGTTCCCACACACCCTGTTTAATTCTGTTCCTACTGTGAAGAGGCATCCTATTTAGTTCTAAGTGGAACTCCATGTCTTTTATTCTATTAATAGAATAAGATTAGCTTGGTCCTAGGGATATTAAGAATACAGGGGAGAGCCCATAAGGTAGACCAACTTGTGGTCTATCACCTGTTTCCAGGGGGAGGGAAAGCACTAACGGGGTCAGTCCCTCTGGAAAGAGATGCATTTTTAGCCAATAGATAATCACCAGCCTCCAGGCTCTTACCTGAATTTGAGGCATACCTATCTCAATCCTTAACTGGGCATTTGAAGTTCCTTTAGGTGCAGCTAAAATGGCTCGCAGGAATTTTGTTTGCATGATTTCTAGTGGGTCTTTCTTTGCAAAGATTCCTGTTTGTGCCCCATATAGAATTTGCATCAATGTTTTGACCTTGAAAAGTTTTAAGGCAGTGGGTACTAATTGGCCTCCACCTGTATAGAAAAAATGTTTAATGGCATTTGAAGACCAATGGGCTGGTTGCAACATATAATCCAGGGGTGCCTTCCATGGACCTTCCAAGTAGAGGGTGTTTCTGGATATTGAGTTGAAGGCCTGCTTAAAATCAAGGAAGGCCACAAAAAGAGAGGAATTTTTTTAATATGTGTACTTTTGAACCAGATGGTGAAGTACCAAAATATGATCCACTGTTGATCTTCCTTCTCTAAATCCAGCTTGTTCATCTTTGATTATCCCCCCTGAAATAAGCCAGTCCTGAAGCATATAATTTAGGTGGTTGGCATACAATTTACTAACCACACTCAGAAGACTAATGGGTCTATAATTGCCTGTCATTTCTATTACCCTTTTTGTAAATTGGTACAATGATTGTTAATCCCCAATCTTTTGGCATATGGCCTGTTTTATCTATAAATGTTTTTTTAAAAAAATGCTAATAGGGGTGCATTCTTTTTCATTATTTCTGGCAGGACATTATCAGCACCTGGTGCCTTATTAGCCTTGAGGGATCTGATCAACCGGGGTATCTCTTCTGCTGTGACAGGGGGCCAGTGAGGAGTTTGGTCCAAACTAATTTGGCTCTCCTTAATTACATAGTCGGGGTCTGTACAGGGATGGGATTCAAATTTCTTAACAACCAAT